TTGACGGATGGTGCAAGACTGATTCTGGGGATAAAAATTCTAACCACTCCCTTTCATGTTAGCGAAGATCATGGGACAAAGTTAGCGTAATGAGTTGTCCTCCCAGAGGTTAGCATCAGCCATGCGTATGGATTGTAACAATGACTCTCGATTATGGTTTTAAAGAATATAGATTCGTTTTAGATGCTTAAAATTTACAAGCCATTTTTTGCGCCTGTTAAGAACTGAGAAATATTTTTCGGAAATTTTATACGTTTGAACTTGAAAGCAACATGCAATAATAGAGGTAAAAGTAATACATTTGTTTGATTAAAAAAAAAAACAATTTCTGTAGAACACTATATATATATATATATATATATATATATATATATATATATATATATATATATATATGGAAAATAGGTATATCTACATATGCGTGCGTGTGCTTGTTCGAGTGCAAAAATAGGCACAGACCCGAAGGGGAGTGTGAAATGTACTCACTGTATTCATAGAAACATTTATAGGTACAGGTAATCTAAATTATGGCGGTGGGAAAGGGACTGAAGACACGATGCCAGGTCAGGGCCAATAACATAGATTGTTTGGCTATTATCAAGAATCTCTAAATACATAACAGAAGCAGCAGACAACATATGGCAAAAATATTCAATGCATGGATGAATAGCAGACGTATAAATATGTAAGATAGATTCTGGCGAGAAAAATTCGGGCAGGACACATAGAAACAAATTTCTTAGCAGCAGGCACAAGTGATAGATTTTGTATTATTAATGTTCGCATAATATAAAACGCAAGAGCTACTTAATGCAGACGGTTATTGTGTGGTGTTGTATGAGCGTTTAACATGACAATAAGCACAGTTATTCAGGTTACGTAAGAAAGATAACCGCTAATCCTAGACTTCAAGTATTCAAGATTGTAGTCATCGGGAAATCATCATACCGTATGTTGGTTCTGTAAAGCAATAGTTTTGGACAAGAATCTGTCCGAATGGAGCATATATCCATTTTTTAAGCATTTCACCCCAAGTAAGGCAGGAGTGCCACTAACACGCAAGGGGTTACAGAGAGTGAGAACAAGTATAAAGAGGGTTATTTAAGGAAAGGATATAGAGAAGGACGGGGATCGGGATTAAAGCCACAGAAGATTACATTTGAATATTTGAAGATTATAGCTATCACGGAAGCAAATTAAAGGAAGGGAGATACACTGGCAGGAAGTGCGAGAGAAGAAGATATTGGAGTAGAAGAAAAGGTTGCATTTAACCTTTTCGATAGTGAAAAGGTGGGACCGAGATGCCAACCAAGTAGCACGCTTAAATTCATGCAGTTGGGGTACCAGTGAAATTAGCTCGTCAGAGAAATTGCCATGGAAATATTTGTAGAAAAGACAGAGGGAAGACACATCATATCTGTGAGTAAGTAACTGGAGTCGAGATGCCAGATCAGAACCTATCACACTGCATATCCGTCTTTGGATTTTGTTGAGAACCCCAAGATATACAGTAAGGTCACTAGACCATATATGGCAACAGTAATCAATGCAAGGACGAATGGTAGATTTGTAGAATTAAGAATGGACTCAGCAACCAACTTTCTATAAATGTAATAGGAGAGGGTGATCCATCCTTGTGTACATAGCATGGCGGTTTCCAGCTGCAAAGGTGAATCTTGCAAAACCAACGTAGCAATAAACGATGATGCGTATTCAACGAGTCAGTTGTGACAGAATGACGCTTTAATTGAGAATGACTATTTAGTAATTATTTTTTTATGCGCCGTGTTCTTTCAGTGCGTAGGCGATCATGGCTCTCCACTTTTCCCTATCCCTTGTAGATCTCAGTAAGTTTCGTACCTCTGCAAACTCATCCAGACCACGTCTTGTCATCCACTTGCTTAAACCCGCCCAGTATGACATGCGTTGCTTTCCCTTGTGTCTTTTTCCCTCTATTCGACCTGTGAGTATCAGATTCTCCAGGCTCTCCTTTCTCGTTACGTGTCTTAGAAATTTCATCTGCCTCTTTCTTATGTTAAGTATGAGCACCCCCCTTGTTTGCATCGTCTCTAAGACCACATCGTTACTCACACGTTCGCTTCATGATATCCTTAACATCCTTCTGTAGAACCACATATCCGATGCCTCGAGTCTCTTCTTCATCTTTGAGGAGACCGTCCAAAATTCACTGTCGTATAGCTTCATCTATTAGCGATCAGCCTTGACCAAGTTTTTTTTTTTATATCTAGAACGAATGTAGATGGTAGATGTGATTAAGGGTTTTTTTTTCTTAATTAATTTGACAGGAGGGAGGAATTCAAGTTCCATAAAAGAGGGAACGTTTTGACAGTCCACACTAGTGCGCGATCCGAAAATGGAAAAAAAAATCTGACATTTATCCCTTTCCCCATTTTCCAAACTCTAATAACAGCCGCCCTGATCATTTTAGAATTGCATGAATAAACCAGAGTTATTTCAACTGTTCTTCGTCGTTTGTGACTTTTCGACAGTGCAGGCAATTTTCTGATATCGCCCCTTTTTCTTCATACAAACAAAACGATCCCACAAAAACAGGATCTAATACGCCACCAGATGTTAGTCCAAGGTGCAGCGCAACATTATCTCGACATTGTAAGGGAAGTGAATAAATTGTGGAATATGAAGCCATTTCTATAAGTGCGCTTGGTACGGACCCGGAGATTAACAATATTGGAAATCCGAGAGAGAATCGAAAGCCAACGCGACGATTGTGTTACTTAAATCAATAAAAGAGCGCTGAAGGAAATGCGGGAGTTTTGAGTAAAATCCCTTTCACTTGATCTCCAATGAAAGCCTTCAGATATTGCGTGTGGAAAACCCCAAATGTTAATTATATTGCTGATAAACAAGACTGCTTGGAAGTTGCCAAAATGAAGATACCAATTGTGCATGTGTTTGGGTTTCTTACTAAACTAGAAAAAATCATAAAAGATCTGTAAAGAAATTGGAAAAATGTATACATTATTCGATAAATTTAGACTAAATGAACTATAGCAGTAATAGAGGCAGCCTCATTCTTGAGGAGACCATTGAAAAAAAAGTAGAGTCTTGCTTGGTAAATTACCCAACATCTCAACGCAGGTTTGATTATTTAATGTCGATATTCGTCATTGTTATATTTAAGTCTATAATTATTTACTTGGTTCGGAGATAGGTAGACAATAGTTGTTTATACTTAAGCCAATAAGTTGTTTGTACTTGAGTAGACTTTCTTCAGTAATAGGTAGACGCCAGTGGTTTATATTAAAACTATTAGTAGATATTACTCGTCTATCCTTGATTCTAGATGAAGGTATTGGTTGATTATAAATTGTTCACGGATAGGTAGGTTGTAGACTTTTAATTCTTAAGTACCCCTAATACAAGGATCCGGGGGGGTACTCAAAGTAGAGCGATACTGTTAAAAGAGTGACGGTTACTTTTAAAATGCTCGTTTTTACTTATACTTAAGTATAAGTATTTATACTTGATCTTATTAGGTATACATTGGTCGTTTCTAGTTTGTGTAGGGTTAGGTAAACATTGGTAAATTATACTTGTCCAAAATTAGGTATTCAACGCTCATATTTGAGTTTATAGATAGGTATTTTTGCTTATAATTTTTTTGGCGATAGGTAGATACTGTATACATATGTCTACAAGGAGATAATGGTTATTCATAAAGGAGTCTGTAGGTAGGCATTGGGGGTTATAATTTAGCGATAGTATATGGCGTACTTTACTAAAGGCCACTTTATAGTGTAACTATCGCCCAAAACTAGAGACCTATTTTAACGCACGTCGTTATATTGGGCGCAGACATTTATGGTTTTGGTTGGCGGCAGTTCTGTGATGTAGTTGGCTTAAGAAATCTGTCTATATTTCTGAGATGAGGTATTATGTACGCTATTTACATTATTCGGACTATTGTCCTCATCTTTACTGCCATATTTATTGCAAAGTTTCGGCTTTTCAGTATCTGTCTATATTTCTGAAATGAGGAATTATGTACATTATTTACATTATTCGGACTATTGTCCTCATCTTTACTGCCATATTTATTGCAAAGTTTCGGCTTTTCAGTATCTGTCTATATTTCTGAAATGAGGTATTATGTACATTATTTACATTATTCGGACTATTGACCTCATCTTTGTCGCCATATTTATTACAACGTTTCGGCAGTTGTACGCTCCGGCCTTCTTCACGTGGTTGAAATGTCGAACTGAACCCTTTATTTAATCTAGAAGTTTATACTTGAGTTTGTAAAAATTTACTTGGTTTGGGAAGAGGTAAATAGCAGTCATTTATATTTGCGTTCGTAAGCATTTATTTGTTTGGTGGTCCTTTTGTGGGTGGGTAATATCCCTCTGTAGGAGATGTAGGTGGCATATTCCAGGCACTATTGACAGATTAGAGGAAGCTTCCTGACATATGATCTTCCGTAATGACCAGCAAAAAAGACGAGTGGGATGATACGAAAAAACAAAAAGCAACTACAGGAATTGGTACAAAATAAATCTGGCCTCGTTACGATTTCTAAAATACCGAACCAGTGTAAAATGTTTCCGATGTTTCTTCTCTGTGAAAAAGGAGCTATGATTATTGATTTGTGAAGAGAGCTCCACGTCAAGTATTTTAAGTTTACGCCGAGTGTCTAATCAAGCCGACATCATTCCCAATTTAGAATCGTTAATCAATGCCATTTCATGTTTCAGGCCGACCTTCATCTTTCTTTGGTTAAAATAAAAATAAAAATTTAAGCACAAAGAAAATGATTCTACTTCTTGTGTTACTTACCCCACCACACACACACATCATTCCTCTCGTTACTTGGACGTAATCTTTCACAGATGTATACGTTTATAGGTGATTTTTGGCTGCATTTGTTTATATTCAATATTCCACTTCTTCGAGATGTGTGGATAGGCACGTGATTGCGAGCCGTGTAACTATCTACCTGTCTATCTTGGTCTAATCAGATGTGTTTACTGCTTTCTTTCTCTTTTCTCTGTATTTATTCAAATTTGTCTATTTCAAACTGTTTCTCTCAGTCTATCTCGCTCTTTTCAAATCTAATTGTTGTCATTTCTATTTATCTATTGTTATTTATATCAAAATTCTGAAATCTACCTAAGTCTGTTTTTTCTATCTGTTTATCTATCTGTTGAACAATATCAATAAATCCTTTTCTATTCCCTATGACAAAAAACAAAAACTTTATACTTATTACATCATGTTAATAATAATAAAAGGAAACATTTGACATTCATTGACCAAGCAGCTAGTACTGCTTTCGGTTAAAATTTATAAAATATTTCTCTTAAAACAATTTTTCAGTAAAATAGGTTTCTGAAGCCCAGTCGCTGTTACAGCTTTTTTCCAGTGTTGATGGAGTTTTCGTCATAAGCTTTTATTAGAAGTAGTATAACCTGGATGATATTTATAAAACAAATACACCAAAAATAATAATTCATACTAAGAATTATATACAGAGAGCAAATGCCAAATTATAAAAAGTAATGCACACATGCCAAAAAATTCAATAGGATATTCTTCGAGATTATATATATATATATATATATATATATATATATATATATATATATATATATATATATGTGCGTGTGTGTATTTATATATATACATATATATATATGTGTGTATATATATATATATATATATATATATATTGAACAATAAAAAATATTAAAATTAAAATCTGACACAGCGGGTTGTAGATTAATATTCTTTCGTTTTTTTTTATTATTTTTTTCATTTAGATTCCTCGACTAGTTTCGGCCAAAATGGCCATCATCAGGAGGAGAAATATTCCTGCTTGCTGGTAGAAGCAAACTACAGAAATGAATGTCTTGCTGGAGAAAATGAACTTTATACATACCTATATATATATATATATATATATAT